TGCCCAAATATGTGCCTAGCATATGTGGTGACAGAGCGCATGCGTCTCCCTTTAATACTACGTTTTAAAAGTCATTATTGGATTTAACTGTTGCAATTTTCGCGTTCAACATTTAATTTAAATATTTTGAACTAATTCATTATCTTTCTAGGAGTTACTACGTCCATTTCACCTTTTTTTCGAAGTGCCTAAAAAAGTGCCTACCAGTAACAATTTATTATTTCTAAATTCCAGTACTAGACTCAAGTGCATCTATTGGATATTTGCCCAGGCTAATCAGTGTAGGTAATATGTTGATTTCTCTGTCTTCTATTGGTGATAATTCCGATTTTCTTCTTTTTTCGAAGTGCCTAAATATGTAAATATGTGTCTAGTATATGTGGTGACCGAGCGCGTGTGACTCTTTTTAATACTACGTTTTAAATATTGTTATTCGGTTCACCCATTGCAATTTGCGTGTTCAATATTTAATTTGACAATTTTCAACTAATTAATTATCATTTTAAAAATTATTACGCCCATTTCACCTTTTTTTCGATGTGCCTAAATAAGTGCCTAAAAAAGTGCCTACCGGTAACAATTTATTATTTCTAAATTCTAGTACTAGACTCAAGTGCATCTATTGGATATTTACCCAGGCTAATCAGTGTGGGTAATATTTTTATTTCTCTGTCTTTTATTAGTGATAATTGCCATTTTCTTTATTTTTCGAAGTGCCCAAATATGTGCCTAGCATACGTGGTGACAGAGCGCGTGTGTCTCCCTTTAATACTACGTTTTAAAAATCGTTATTGGATTTAACTGTTGCAATTTTCGCGTTCAACATTTAATTTAAATATTTTGAACTAATTCATTACCTTTTCAGGAGTTACTACGTCCATTTCATCTTTTTTTCCGAAGTGCCTAAATAAGTGCCTACCGGTAACAATTTATTATTTCTAAATTCCAGTACTAGACTCAAGTGCATCTATTGGATATTTACCCAGGCTAATCAGTGTGGGTAATATGTTTATGTCTCTGTCTTTTATTAGTGATAATTGCCATTTTATTTATTTTTCGAAGTGCCTAAATATGTGCCTAGCATATGTGGTGACCAAGCGCGTGCGACTGCCTTTAATACTACGTTTTAAATATTGTTATAGAGTTTGTCCGTTGCAATTTGCGTTTTCAACATTTAATTTGACCATTTTTAACTAATTAAAAATGTTTTTAAAAGGTATTACGCCCTTTTTACTTTTTTTCCAAAGTGCCTAAATAAGTGCCTAAAAAAGTGCCTAATTTGCAAGTGCCTACTTTTAGTCCGTCCCTGTATTGTGCTCATTCTGCTGTTCTGTGATAAGCATCCGGAAACTTTTTTCTAATGAACTTTATTTGTCTGTTTGTGATGATATAAAATTGATGTTGATTCAATGCGGTTAGGGATGTAACTTAGATTCAAAATTTTGAATTAAAGCGATTCGATTCAAAGCAATTTGAGAAAAAATAACTTAATTCTATTAAAAAAAAAATTAACTCAGATAACATGAGGCGATACTACACCGCAGTGCATTTTTATTATTGCCTTCACAGATTTCTGGATTTTTCAAATCTTAACACTCGAGTGTTTTTCTATTTCATATGACTTACTGCTTCAAAGGAAGCAATGATTTCGTTCTATTTTGTTCAAGTGCGGTACGGGTACCTTAATTGTTAAGAAGTTCACGAATATGTCATTACTTTTTTAACGTTCGTTTAAATTATCTGTAAAAAACTTGTGTGCGATGTTTCTCTCATAAAAATATGTAAATGCATTTAACTCTATACAAATCTTGATTTAATGGCCCTTTTTCATTAGAAATCAGGCATCTAATCACATATCCTCACATGCAAAGGTAGAAATACTGACATGCAATCAGTGACCACCTCGACTCGCCAAACATATAAGATCTGCGCAAACCTACAGAGAATGATTTACCGGTGACATGAACAGTTATTTTCATTTGCTTACAATTCGAAATACACTTATTGTTTCGATTAGGAAATAACACCACAATACGGCACAGTTTTATAATTCCCCGATATTGAAAGTCCTCAATTATAACATGAGACAGTCTGAGACTCCATGTCAGCATAAATCGGCAAACCATTTTGGCGCAATTAAAAAGAAGCACTATTTAAAAATACCAACATTGAATTCCTCAGAAAAAAAAAATTTAATTCACAGTAGGAAAAAATCTCATTGTGGCATTCCAGAATTTTTAGCCGAAAAAACACAATTTTGGTCATGTGACGACTGTAATTGAGATATGCACGGCGCAATGTGCTGGATGTCGTCGTTTTAGAGACAAATATAGTGTTTGTTCATTGAAACAAATGTTGGGACATCTTGAAATTGGAGAACTGTGCCCTGCTTTACTGAAAGATTGTATGCTCATAATCATAATACAGTAATGTGAAATAAATAATTAAATGTATTTTGATATTGAAACTCAGTCTCATGTTTTAATGTTAGAAACTCTCATGCTATTATTATTTATTATTCGAATGGGTAAACTCAACGATAATCAGAATGAAATAATCTACTATTCAGAACACATTGGACAAAAATATTTCCAAATATAGAATATTAAATAAATTCTGTTCAACAAAATACACCAAAATTTGTGTATATTCAATGAATTTGTATATTGGATTTCATAGAATGTAAACAGTGATTGGAGGGGTTCTTCGAGATAAATGGCGTAAATGATAGTTTGTTAAATGCAACTAAATTATATCCTAAATCAAGTATTTAAAGTTCTTAATTATTTATAATTATTATAAATTTAATTTCACTCATTCAAATATTCAATCACTAGCTACGTTACTCACATTTATTAAAGTTTTAAATGTATTGATATGATGTGAAAAGCTATATATATATACAGATCTAAATGGATGCTCAACACAAGTATGAGTCCAAAACTTTAGTCGATCATGGGCCATGTTCAGAGACTGAAATAAATTAGCATATTTTATTCATTGACATAGGACTATTCCATTACTCAATCTGAAATATGTCAGCAAATTTTTGAGTTCTGAATTTTGCCTGAAGAGATTGAATATTTCAATACTTTCAAAAATATTTTGAGATATGGTGAATGCTTAATTTTAGGAATTTAAAATATTTTTTTTTATTGAAAAGTGATACTGCTTGATTTAAATTTTCTGGCAACTGTAAAAACTACTTAATCCAGTTTGTTTTCACATTTCTATTTCATATAATTTGACCTTTTTAATATTGACGCAAATTTTGTGTTGAACATGACTAAATTTAGAATATTCAAAAAGAGTATTTCAGAATATTTTCAGAATAATAGATTACTTTATCTTATTCTAAGATCCATGATTTTGTGCTACTGCATCTGAATGGAATCTGTCTCTGTTGTAAGAATTCTTTGAATATCATGAAATAGTGACATTATTTGTTGAACAGTGATACTTGACGCATTTAATTACGATAATACTTGATGAATTTGCACTGTAAGTGAAATTTCCTTTTTTATCAAACTACTCGCTCGACGGTGCTTGGAGTCTCTCTTTACCATTAACGAGCGCCTCTGGATTTCCCCGACATCCTCTGGATACGTTTCTAATATATATATATATATATATGATTGGTGCTGCAGTCTTCAAGAGGCTACAACCATATCTTGACTGATGTGCGATCAGTAAAGAAAAGTAGATAATTGAGTTATAGTGTATATGAAATAGGAAAAAGAGTGCTTATGATATTTTGTCTGAGATTTATCATACCTTCACTCTGGAACAGAAACACTGAAATGGGGGTCACTGATGTAAATGGCTCAAATAATTGCTTTTTCAATGGAACTATAAGGAAAACAATAGCTGGGCCAAACAAATTTTGAAATGATTAAAATTAAAAAAAAAATACAGTGTAAAACAAGATGGAAGAAACTGAGCAAATATTCTTGATATATGTATAATATGTATACATTTGAGTATATGCTACCTTAGTTAATATTATATTGGGAAGTTTGAATAAGTTCTACTCCTCTAACTCTGATATATGCGACTGAAAATGTCAGATTGCTCGATTACACTTTTATTAACCATATTTCTAAGAATTTAGGTTATATCAATCAATAGGCTATTTATTGTCATTGTAAACTCCAGACTTGATCATTATCATTTAGTCAAATTAATTATCTTCATTAATTGAATGTGTACTATGAAACTAGTGTAGGCAACAGGACTTTTAAACTGTTGCTTATCTTTTGTGGACTAGAAGGAAACATGTGGCAACACTCAACAGCAAATATTATAGCTTCATAAATCATATTTCAAAATGAACGAAATGCTTCTGTTTATAGCATACTTTGGGTATATGACAATTTGATGTAATGTTTCATGATCAATGTTTAACAACGGCTGTATTTGTAGTTTCACTACGAACTAATACAATTGGTCTGCAATGTTTGCGAACATGTATTGACATATTTTCAACTCTTGTTCGTAGGTAATATTTGTTCTGTATGGAGAGCATTTCATAGCAAACTTTTCATTTGAGATCACAGATTTGTTTTACTGGGTTTAAAATTTTCTGTATTTTAAATGGGAGCTTCTTTATTTACAGTTCAGCTTTCCCTACCTAATTTATTGCACCCTGGGTGAGGTGATGGACATGAGATTTGAACCCATAGTGTTCAACGCTTTACCACAGGGCAATTTCACCTAATATATATGCATATGCATCATCCCATGCTGGTAAATATGTGTAGAATGTTATATTATAGTGTTTGATTCTATTAATTAATAGTATCCTTATGCTAATTGGAGTCAGTCTTGTGTCAGAAATCAGCCCTCAAAGTCATTCAGACATTTTATATATTGAATAGGACAATCGGAATCTTATTGTGATAGTATTCTTCGATTCCATTTGATTCCTTTATTCTTTAAGTTTCGAATTACACATGTTGTATTCAGCATGTAGCATGTGTTTTATTGATACTAAACATGCCCTTATTAATTACATTCTGTCAGGTTTATATATTGTTTAGGATTATTGTGCATTTGTTCATGAAGATGTAACTGAATTAGGCTGTATTACTCGTTTTTGTGTCCTTTGAGTTGGTTCGAAAAATCATTGGATATTAAAAATGACTGGCGATATCATTTCATCAGCTTTTGTTCAACATCACTGCAGGACTTTGGCATCAGAAAGCAGTGACTTAGCAAGTGCTTGTCAAATCATCAAGGATCGTTTATACTTTGCTACACTGAGAACAAGACCAAAAAGCACCAATCACACTCATTATTTTTCTGTTGACGAGGAGTTAATATATGAAAATTTCTATGCTGACTTTGGCCCATTAAACCTTGCACAATTACATCGCTATTGTGCTAAACTACAGAAAAAACTGAAATCTGTAACATTAGCTAAAAAGAAGTTAATTCATTACACGTCATTTGATGCAAGAAAGCGTGCAAATGCAGCATTTTTGGTTGGAGCTTATCAAATAATTCATCTGAAGTTGTCTCCTGAGGAAGCCTATAGACCGTTAGTTTCTGGAAACAGTCCCCCATACCTTCCGTTTCGTGATGCTTCTTTTGGGCCATGCTCTTACAATCTAACATTGCTAGACTGTTTACATGCTGTGCATAAAGCAGTAATGCATGGGTTTTATGATCCTGAATCTTTCGATGCAGATGAATATGAGCATTACGAACGAGTAGAAAATGGAGATTTCAACTGGATTGTCCCTGGGAAATTTCTTGCTTTCAGTGGGCCTCATCCAAAGAGTAAAATAGAAAATGGATACCCATTGCATGCTCCTGAAGCCTATTTTCCATACTTTCGAAAACATGGTATTACTTGTGTTATCCGACTAAACAAGAGACTGTATGATGCCAGACGCTTTCAGGATGCAGGATTTGATCACTATGATTTGTTTTTCATTGATGGAAGTACTCCTTCTGATACTATTTTACGTAAATTTTTGAATATTTGCGAAACCACTGAAGGTGCGATTGCTGTCCATTGTAAAGCTGGACTGGGGAGAACAGGAACGTTAATTGGATGTTACATGATGAAACACTATCGTTTCACATCTGCGGAAACAATCGCTTGGATCAGAATATCTCGACCAGGATCTGTCATCGGACCACAGCAACAGTTTATCGAAGAAAAACAGCACAGTATGTGGGTGCAAGGTGATCTATACCGTGCCAAAAAGAACGACAGAAAATCGGAAAGCAGCCGAGTCACTTTGCAGCACATAACATCCGAAGTTGATGACATAGATATATCAGATAGAGGTTACACACATGCATATGAGTCGTATAGAAAAGGATCAGGCAGTAAAACAACAGACAGGCTGTCTCAAGGTGATAGGTTACGAGCAGCCAAAGCAAAACGTCATCCACACTCTGCCACAACAGGGACCACGAGATACTCTGATAGTGGTCTCTACAGCAATGGACGAAGCACTTCACATCTTTTACGATCTACGGTTCCTAACTCAGTCTCAACTTTATCATCACAACTTAAAGCGACGAAACTGGTTCTCTCTGAAGGACATGGCATCACAACAAGAAGCAAGTTCAGATCGACAAGTGCGAATGTTGGGGTGAAAACCCGACGCAGTCAAAAATCAAGAACTCCTCCAGGGTATTCATTCAGTCATATTTATTCTGACGAATAGCAAACTGATAATATTGAAAAGCTAGCAAAAATACTTAACAAATAATATTCATTCCTGGGTGGGTCAAAAATATACAATTGAATGTTTTATCTTTTGTCTATATTTGGCTGAAATAATGTTATTTTTAGGCTTAGTTTCTATTATTCACATTTGTAGGGTTATACACTTTTCTGATTTCTAGTCAATTTTATGCCCGTTGCACTCACAATTTTTAATTTTTTTTATTAGTATAAATTTATTAAAAAAATTAATTGTCATTTTAATTTTCTACAGCACTTTCTTTAGGGTACTATACTCTTATTATTAAATCTTGATTGCCAATTTCAATTCACTAATTCTTGTAAAGTATACTGATATGTTGGTGTGATATTATTAACTAGCAATTGCCTGGCTGAATTTTAGAGCTGTCATTTGTTTGAATATTTTATGTCTCAGCATGCTGTATCTTTGTTTAAAAAAGAATTGAGTTCAATTCCAGTTTTCTGCATAAAATTTCAAAACTTTTTTAATCTACATTCATGGTGCACATTTGTCTTAATTTCTATTATATATTTTATTTTGGTGTAATTATTAGTGAAACAGACTATAATATAATAATAACTTTATTTTTCCTACACATGTTCTAATTTGCCTTTGCCAATGATTGTATTGTGCCGCTTTTAATTGTAAAATAATATCATCTGATTTCAAATTGGTGCTTTTTTTATGCATTAATTCTCAGGTTATGGTATGATGCAAGAATGCTCAAAGGTTAAATATTGTAATATAAGATCTTACATGATAGTACTGTAAAATCTAAAATGTTAATGAAGAGGTTAAAATTTTAGTCAAACTTTCTGAGCATTCTTCTCATCTATGGCTTCACTATATGATTTTGTTGTCTTTCATACAATATACAGTACCTTGGTTTCCAAAATATGTTAGGCTTACAAATGTTCCAATTCTTTTAAATGAATGTTTTCTTCAACTTATGTAATATTTGTCTTTTTAATACTGGTTTCAAAATCCCCTTGGAAAGCACTTGTATACATGACTGATCAGTTTCTACCTGGGAAAATTATTATGGCGGCCCTATTTGAGCTAAATAGTAAACTTCAAAAAGGTAAACCTGTGGTGTTTATCAAAATAATTGACCACTTTGCATTACTTCTAAATGATATTATATTTTTCAAATAAGTTTTACGGAAACATGTACAAAATTGGTAAAGTGTCTTCAAACAATAGCTATTTTTGAAGTGGGAACAATTTTTGTCAGTGTCAACAGTATAAGAATTGTTAGTCAATGATGGAAAAGATGTAATAACAATTCCAAGTACTAATGGAGATAGAATAAACTGACTTGAACGTATCAAAAGCCCCCTTCAAATTTGAAAAATAGTGAAATTGCTGAGAGGCAGGCTACATTCTCAAATTTGATAATTTTTATTTGATTATTAAACTAAATTCTATGATTGTCCCAAGTTTCAACATTTGTTTCCTTTTCCAATGATTAAACCATACAATTCAGCAAATTTATTTCGATTTTTTATGTTGAATTGTTTTTTATAAAGTGAATTTCACCTACAAACTATACTGTTGCATTATTTATCACATTGATTTCATCTGTAAGTCAACATAATATTTTGCAATTGTCAAGATTTAATTTCATGCCAAGATAAAACTATTATGTTCATATAAGACATTTATTTTCACTCGCCAGTTAATTTGTCTGAAATAAGAAAGCATTCCGTAATTGTTCAGATTTCATGATATTATTTGCAAGATGTTTTGCGATGACTTCTCTTTTTGTTTGTACTAAACTTCTAAATGGTTCAATGTAATACTTTCATTGCTTCTCTCAAAGTGCTTGTATTATGTTGATCTATTTTTGTATTCCTGATAAAATTCTGTTTGATGAATTAGAATGTACAATCTTAACCTGTCCTTATATAAGATGATCATATGATATTTTGTACCTAGGCACAGTAGATCTAATTATGAATGTTGTAAACTGGAGTATGTCCTCTTCATATTAACCTGACAATATCTTGCATTTACACTGAAATCTAAGCATTAGATATACCCATTCTTGACTGACTAAATTATTGAGAATTGTATTATTGTCATAGAAATCAAGTAACCCCACTAATTTTTGAATCAGTCACCTAAAGAGCTTGCAAAATTTCTGTTACTCTGAAATATTTGGTTCAAGAAAATTTTGTCAAATTTGCAGTGGTATGAGTAAGAGTAACTCATTTGGTTCTCCTTGCATGCGAAATTATCTTTGAACTCAATGTTTATTGATGGTTAGACAGTTTTTTATGACTTCATTCAGCAATGTTTTTATGTTACTGGTGTTGTTATAAAACTCCTTCTCCAGTCTGGTGACATTCAAATGTACCCAAGTTAGAAATTTTTTTTATCATCTTTGAATATTAACAATACTGTGCTTATGCCAGAGAATCTGTAAAATATATTATTTCTTGTAAATTTTTTCAAATTTATAACAAGAACGTTCCATTTGTCATTATTGCCAATCAAATTGAATGCTGTACTGTAACCTAATTTTCAGAGATATATTGTTATTATATTTGAAATTTTCTAGATTAGAATCTATTGTTATTATTATATTATCACAATTGTTCCAAAACACTCTTTAGCAATGTTCTCTTCTTTGTAATGTGATTTGAATGGGATTTGTGTCACACAGTTATTAAGTTTTGTGCTTTGGAGTTTGATATATCCTGGACCAACTAAATTCCCAGTGTCACTAAAAATGTTTTTCTCCTTCATCCAATGCATTCTGAATTTTTTGTGATCACATAATATTTTTGGTCGAATTACTAATGTTATCAGTTCACAATTTTGTTCATTTGAAAGCAACCTAGAACAGTAAAATGTTTAATTTTACATATGCCACGCAATAATGCTTTAGCTTTGTGAGAAAATTCACACCACTGTATCAAACTAATAATTCGTCACTTTCTTTTTTCTGTAGATATATTATAGGCTTTGTAATATAACAAACAACTCCCGAAATGTCTCGGCTTATTGTTAAAAATTTGCCAAAGAAAATATCATCTGAGAAGTTGACAGCTGTGTTTGCTGAACATGGTACAATTACAGATGTAAAGCTTTCCTTTACCAAAGATGGAAAGTTTCGCAGGTTTGCATTCATCGGTTACAAAGATGCAAAGGACGCAATGAAAGCTAAAGAATATCTTCATAATTCTATGATATCAAATCAAAAAGTTATGGTTGAAGATTGCAAAGATTTTCAACAAAATAATTTATCACCAAAACAAACAGATAAAAATGTGAAAATAAATGAATTAGACGATTCTGGAATTGATCAAGAAGATGAAAAATCTACGAGATTTGTTTCTGATTCAGATTTTTTAAAATTTAAAAAGCAAGCAAGAGACGTATCTAATGAATTTGAGGATGAAACAAAAACTGGAAACATACAATCAAAATTTTCACTAAGACTTCGAGGTGGTCCAGCGAAGTTAACAGATAAACAAGTTCACGAATTCTTTCACCCTCTGAAACCGAACTCTGTAACAATCTTGAAAGGCAATGCCAAGCGATGTGCCTTTGTTACATTTTTAACACAAAATGATTTGGACAAAGCATTAAAGTTCAATGGTGACTGTATCAACGGAAAATCAATCAAATTACAGTCAATTAAAAGAACTGAAATTGATTCTCAAGAATCAATAGGAGATTGGAAGAAAAAGCTGGAAGACAGCAGGAGTAAAATTGACATTGATGAAATTGCAGAATCTGGACGATTATTTGTTCGTAATCTTGCGTTTATTTGTACAGAAGAAGATCTAGAAACTCATTTCAGTACTTTTGGCCCATTGTCAGAAATTCATATTCCCATTGACTCAATGACAAGAAAAAATATTGGCTTAGGTTATGTCACGTTTATGTTCCCTGAACATGCAATAAAAGCTTTCAATGACCTTGATGGCACAGCATTTCAAGGTCGAATGTTGCATATCCTCCCCAGTAAAACCAAACCTGAGAAAGAGTCTGATTTTCAAAAGAATGGTGCAGGAGGCTCATCATATAAGAAAGAAAAGGCTGTCAAAGATAAGTCTAAGAGTCAACAAGCATATAATTGGAACACTCTTTTTATTGGTACTGATGCAGTGGCAGGCGCTATTGCAGAGAAATACAATATCTCGAAAAGTGAATTTCTCAATGCTGAAGAAAAGGGGAGTACAGCTGTTAGAGTGGCCCTTGGTGAGACTCAAATTGTGCAAGAAACTCGGCAGTTTTTACTCGATAGCGGTATTTTGTTGGACTCTTTTAGCCAACCAAATTCTGAAAGAAGCAAAACTGTTATTCTTGCAAAAAACCTGCCTTCAGGAGTAACAGCTTCAGAGTTGCGAAATTTATTCGAGCCTCATGGTGATTTGGGAAGAGTCTTGCTTGCGCCGAGTGGTGTAACTGCTGTCATGGAATTTTTGGAACCATCACATGCTCGACAGGCATTCATGACGCAAGCATACAGAAAATTTCATTTCCAGCCTTTATATCTGGAATGGGCACCTACTAACATTTTTTCAAAATCATATGATGACTTTACAAAAGACGAGGAATTGACAGACAAAACGGATGTTGATGAAACGATAAACCCAGAGTCTGAAGAAAATCAAATGGGTGAAGAAAATTTAGAAGAAGGCACTACCATCTTTGTTAAAAACTTAAACTTTGATACAGCCGAAGAGAACCTAAGGAATCATTTTTGCAAATGTGGTCAAATATATAACTGTACGATAAGTAAAAAGAAAACTCACAAAAAAGAAGAATTACTTTCGATGGGATATGGTTTTGTGCAGTATTATAAAAAATCTGATGCCGAAAAAGCCATAAAAACATTACAACATAGTATGTTAGATGGACATAAATTGGAACTCAAACTTTCTAAACGGACAACAAAAGAAACTGTACTTGATTCGAGGAAAAAACAAATTGAAAAGAAACAAACTACTGCCAAAATACTTGTCCGTAACGTGCCATTTCAAGCAGACAAAAAGGAAATTGTAAGCTTGTTTAAGACATTTGGTGAACTAAAATCTGTTCGATTGCCCAAAAAGTTGTCTGTTAGTGGTCAAGCTGGTACGCATCGTGGGTTTGCGTTTGTCGACTTTATTACTAAACAAGATGCTAAAAAGGCATTCCAAGCTTTGTGTCATAGCACTCATTTATATGGCCGTAGATTAGTTTTGGAATGGGCCGATAGTGAAGAGGAATCAGTAGAAGGCTTAAGAAGGAAAACTGCTGAGCGATATCACGGCAACAGTAAGAAATTTAAGGGTAGGGGTGAATTTGAACAATCATTGGCAAATAAAAGAGATGATTCTTAGTTAAATATTTGAATTTCTTGCAATAAATTTGCTCCTATGACATCGAAAATTTTTTTTTTTCCTGAAAATGGAGTAACTTTGGTGTGCTTTAAAACAGATTCAAACATTCCAAGAATTTGGAACGCCTAGAGCAGGGGTCTCAAACTCGCGGCCCGCAGGACGATAGTTTGTGCCCCCGCCTTAGTATGAAAGTTTAATGTTAGTGTGGCTCGCAAGTCACTTAGCCCAGTTCGTTCGATTAATGATTAATACATTCAATAACTCGGATTTTTGACGTCACAATCACTAACGCTTAGTTTTATATTGATACATTGTAACCATGTTTTTCATGTGCTTTGACATCACTGCCCATCAGCAAAATTCTTGAACAAAAATAAAGTAGGAAAGATTAAAAATTTTTAAACTAGGCTTCTATCGTGAAAAACCTGATGCGGCCCGACCCACCCAGATTCTGCTTCCAGTGGCCCTGGGAAAATTGATTTTGAGACCCCTGGCCTAGACTGTTGGTTGGCTCTTATGATTCAAAAATTCCTTCTTTATGATGCCATAAAATATTGCTTGGTATCAACTTTAGTCAATGTTTACAGATGCTAAGGAGAATAGCTCAAGGACTTTCTGTTAACATAATATTTGTTTACCGGCAGTCAAGTCTTTTATACTTGCGGTGTTTCAATGGAAGACAGGTGCTTTTGTGTTTATAGTAGTTCATGCTTTGGCATTGTGATGGATACAATGGTTTCAACACTACGAATTATCAATGCTCAATAACAGAAGTGAAAATTGCTCAAACATGATTATGCTCAGTTGTAACATTTGAGGGTTATTTAAATAAAGTGAACAATAGGTGCTATGGTATCTATATACTCAACACTTGACATACGCGAACTCTTCTAGTATCTATTATGACAAAATTTACTCTTCAGAAAGTAGTTGGAAATGGGTATTTGGTTCGTCCTTGGATGTGACATTAGTCTTTATTTACCAATCCCAAGGATGCTCTTAGCAAATCAAGCACGGTAGTAAGTCAAGTTCATGTATCTGAAACAAATTGTCGGATAACTAATTTCATACGAAAGGGCGTGGTACGCTTTATGATAAAGCCGTCTTATCAGCTTTCCACACCGCCGAGATTCCGTGTTTCTCCGAAAATAAGACTTAATTAATTTTATAAATGATGAATATTCCATGTTTGCAGTTGTTTTGAATAAATACGTGCTATTTATAAGTAAATGGATATCGGTTTTCATATTTTGTACATTTGAAAATCTCGTAATTCTCTAGTTTGTAATTTTGTTTTTGATAAATGAAAATAAATGACATCTCCCTAAAAAAAGCCCTGGTGTAATTTTTCGAAATAAAATTGAAATAATACTTTATTTTCGGGGAAACACGGTGAATATGAAAAATCCTCCTCTGCAAACAAATAAGAAAAATCCCCAAGGGCGTGACGTATCTGAGGTAATAATCGTTCATTGAGTAGTTCTCGCAACAAGGGCCGGTGCTAGGAACTGCGGAGCCCAATTAGAAATCTGATGGCCGGGCCCCTACTCTTTTATAGTAAAATTTATGGGTGGTTATATTTCATAAAAAAAAAAATACATACAAACCAAAAAATACATTTAATATTTGCTATAAAACAAATTAAAGGTAGTGAGATGAAAAAAGGTAAATGCGGATGATTTTATTGTTTTACTTCCAACGCTAAAATAGGCAATAACATTATACTCTTTTAGAAAAAGACTTTTCTAGCCTTTTTATTAGCAAAATCATTCAAAATATTTTTAAAGTCAATAGCTTTAGTAATCTCGCTTTCCATAATTGGTATTGACAAACTGTTAAATTTTTTTTTTGTGAGACCGCATACCTCAAGTATGTTTTAATTAGAGATGTACCGATACCACTCTTGTCGTCGATACCGATATATATTATATATAAAAAGCGGATACTCCGATACTATGTAATTATCACCTCAAGTGTGCAGGGAAGACGGGTTGAAACAATAGTATATATTTGAGCATTATCCATAGTGCACATCATTTCAGATTTGTAAAGAAATATACCTATCACATTAAAAGAAATTGGTGTTTGAGATCCAGATGCGTTAATTGATTCATTGTGTACTACAGCTAGTAATCTCGCTGTTGAATTAGACAACTCATCGAGTTTGGCTGCTGTGGTTCGTACTGATTACTTATCCTATCAAACTGATACACTGTTTACACATTGAAAAATTCACTGATATTCGATTGATATGTTTCTTCATATTTACCGGACAATTTTAAAAATGTCAATATGAAAATTTGGCAGCGAAAATATCCAAATTATTTGAGCTAGTTCGGCTGATAAATAGCTAAAAACAGGTCAGAATCCTATTTCCGTTTCTACTCGCGGGAATGGGACGTGCATGGCTCATAGTTTACGATCTATCCAACAACAAAAAATTCTACATCAGTATTTTAACTTATCTATATCGGTCTGCATGTAGCCGATACCGAAAATTTGGCCAATACCCGAAACATGTCTAGTTTTAATTAGTTTCAGCTTTGAAAAGCTTTTTTCCCTGACACAACAGTTATTGGCATCGCTGTACTTTTTTTTACTAAAATTTAGCATGCATAACAAATTAATATTATGAAAAAGATTATTTCACTTTTTATTTGTGTTTTCAGGAGATCTTTGTACCTCATAATACGGAAAAAGACCCCCACTAGGGCGGGGCCCTTTCAAAGTGAGGGGCCCTATTCGATAAAATCGGTCAAACCGACTTGAAGCGGGCACTGCTGGCAACCTGAAGATTTTCTTACATCCGTTGTCGAATAAAAGTGCACTTCCCAATGTTCGGATTGCTTTGCAAATTTCGCTGACAGTGGCAGTAACATCCAGCAAATTGCCAGAGATTATTCAGTAAACTAATTTTGTCGTACCGTCGATCCTCGGTGAGTTAGTAAAGATTGCGTGATCTGGCTTTTCAAGTTTTTGAAGCAATGAAACAAAGAAAGCAAATTATGATGGAATTTCTTAAAGCCCTACTACTATGAAATGAAACTACTAATAATAAACAATAACATTAGTGAACTTTACAACGAAATGGGCTTCATGTTCTTTGAATCCCAAAAAAGTTTTTTTTTTTCAGTTCACGTGAAAACATTTCAAACCAATTTCTTCCCTTCCCTCCGAGCATGAATGTTCGCTATACTTGTCACACAATGAGCTAAATCCGCTTCTACAGATTTTTGTTGTTGATAGAAAATGTCCCAATATATTTATATCGCTGGATAGTCTTGATAAAATGGGGACACTGATAACGATTGTCGTACTAGTTATTTTTCAATTGATTCTTCTAATGATTTCCCGCATTAGCACGCAGTTCTAAATCGATGCATGAACGACAGCATATATATATATCATAAAAATATACACCTTTCGATGTTTGCTACACTCTCCGAACATCGTCCATGTAATTCTTTTCAGATACTGATCTTTTCTGTGTATGTGCTGAACTAGGCTCATGTGAATCTATGGCACGGTCGCGCCAATATTCAAATCCTCTTCTTAGTTGCATCGCAGATTTATCATAAACCGGTGAACATTTGTTCGCAATCCGATCTGGGCATTTTCAAATACCTAGTGGTTTCAGAATTGAATCGAATATTTTTGGAATCGAATCTCGAATCCTTGAAGGATCTGTAACTGAATGCCACTTTTTTATTGAATTACTGAAAACTTACAATCCATCCAGTTGTTGTGGGTTCACACAGAATAAGAAAAACCCGTTTCATCAATAAATGACTCGCATGTCAGTTTGCATCGTAAAAAATAACTCCAAGAGTTTTATGCAATTCCACCCACACCATATTTTGTCAAACTTTGGCTATTCGTTTTTTCGTATTTTCAGGAAGACAAGGAAGAAAGGAATCTTCTCTGTGCGCTTTCCCCCTTTAGGATCAGAATTATTTTTACTTCGTACAAGGTCAACCCATGTCCTACTACAAACTACATGTCTCATTCGACATACAAGAATTGCCGTTGCAATAAAATAACCGCAGGAGATTTTATAACGATTTACACCAATTACATAAGCGGTTGAAGATATTTTTCTTTCAGGTGCCAGCTGCATTCTATTTTCCTGTGCTTGGTAAATTATAAGCAAATACAACTTGGTCTGTTCTGCAGTGTGAGACATTAAAGTATTATCAAAAGAAGCTCTAAAACAGCGGATTGGGAAAAGGCATATTCTAAAGTTGCGTGTGACATATAGCCAGGCTGAGTGTGGGCCGCACGTTATAGGCGGTGAGTTTGTTGATTGAAACTATACTAACATTTCACGCTTACTTGACCTATAATTAATTCATTCGCATGTATAACAACATCTACAATTTGTTTATCACTCGTTTTTTTCCAACTTAGGCCTATAAGGGGCATTTTCAAGGAATTACGCAAATAATCTACGAAATTGAAAAACAAGCAGTGTATGACTAGAAACTTGTATTATTTTTTTCAATTTAGTTGTTCAAATAAATTGTTGTAGGCAATCCTCTACGAATTGTACGACATCTTAGCGAAATACTTCCTGGAATTAATATATACTGCTAAATATCGCCATCCCATAATTTCAGGATGCTGCTGTCAACAACATTTACATGAGTTAATTACACAATTACCAAAGAAAGCAGACGATTCTAGCCTTGTACCAGAACTATAACTACCAACCACGGCCATATTTTTCTTATCAATAATTAAGTTATTGTACCAAATTTTGTCTTGCATGCTCAATTTCCGATCTGCACATAAAAATTTCCAACCTACTTGTTATAAAACTTGCCAAGACAATCCTAAACTATGGAGGGTCTCAAAACGCTCATGTTACATGTAGTAGTAATGGAACGCGCAGTTGGATAGATTAATGGGTATGTCCGCCAACCAATCACAACAAATGTATTTGTTGAGGAACTACAAAAATAACGAAGGGTTTAACGATAGTGTGTTTGTTGCGCTGCTGCTTTTGTTTATAACTGTCTGGAAACTAAGCGGCATACCTCAAATGACTGTGATAATTTCCCATATTTGATTTGTTACATGTTTGCTCATTTACAATTGCTTAAAAAGCATTACCCGATTTTAAATCGTGTTCACTCGTTTATGTACTTGCATTATTTTTGTCGGTAGGTGGGTGCTACTTATACGTTTGTTTTGCCCGCCTCCCACCCAGGTATCTCTGCATTTTGTTCGTCTGATTACTTTTTACACTGTTTTGATTTGTCAGAGAACCAAATTAAATGATTGATAACTATATTCATTTAACGAACCCTACTGATAACTAAACTATAAAGAACTTTGTATGAAAGTTTTCAAGCACCCGCGCAAATATGTTACGTGCTTTATATATTTCTTCACAAGATACTGTATGATGGAACCCAGAAAAAGATTACAATAATGATCCAAATAAGACCAGAAAAATATAATTTTGGGCATTTTCGAAGGTATTCTCTGAAGACTTGATTTTGTCTTATCTTGTTCATCTCCAAGATCTATTTGCATATTAAGCCCCTGCGTATCATAACAGAACAATTTTTTTCATACCAAAACGATTTTATTGTGGTTGCTATTTTATTGATGACTGTATTTTTTAATTGACAAAATAAAGAGTTTCTCTCTCTCTCTCTCACGAAAACAAGTTAACACTCCCGCCATCAAACAGAGAAAAGGATACATGGATAAGGATTTGTGAAGCAATCCGAACATTGGGAAGAGCACTTTTATACCCATAGTCGACCATGGATGTAAGAAAATCTTCAGATTGACAGCAGGGCCGGTTTCAAGTCGATTTGACCGTTTTTATCGAATTGGGCCCAAAGTTTTTAACACTCCCACCATCAAACAGAGAAAAGGATACATGGATAAGGATTGTTGATTATTCGTGTTTGGAAACATTTTGATAAACAGACAACTATTATTTTTTCTTCAACCTCGTTTTTCTTCCTCTGGTAGCTCCATGTTTTGCAGCTCGAACCAGGCCGTCAAATTGGCCCTGCATTTTCTTGCGTTTCCTGCAAATTAACAATGATATAGTTCAGGGTTGTCCCAAGGTTGTCGGCTCCGCGGGCCACAAAATTATTTTTGCATTGTTCGCGGGCCACAATAGTGCCAAGAATAGGTAAACAGTGCAATACAATAGACAATAGTGATGACAATACGTCAAAAGATTTTTCTGATTTATTTTATGACGAAACAACACGAAATGCGATTTTTTGATTACTCTCCGAATATGACGCGGGCCACAGATAATGAAGCGGCCGGCCACATGTGGCCCGCGAGCCTGGGTTTGGACCACCCTGATATAGTTCATTATTTATTGTTTCAAATGCCTAATAGTTCAATAAACAGCTGCTTTAAAATAATAATTTTTATCATGATGAACCAAGCTAGGCAGCCAACAGAACAAGATTTTATTATCAATCTAATTTCCATCCTGTTCACTAAGTGTGACATTTTCAACAAGCAGTTCGATATACATATGACACCATATATTTCAAACCTTCACCTTTTATTTAAAACCGACTTATTAAGAGGAATATAAGTATATGGATCGTGCATTCCCTTCTGTTTGATGTCCCCTTTTGCTTTCTGAAAAATATAAATGTTATAAATCCACTATCACCAAGATCAGAAAATTTATAAATAATGGTGCTGGGTCATGTCATAGACAGGTCAAATGCCAAAGTTGGTGTAGCAAGAAAACAGGAATTATTCCTGTTTTTTATGTTACGAATAAAATGAAATCCTCTAAAATTTCAAGATTAACTTTTATTATTACTGACATTGTTATGTCATAACACACAAGGTATGTAAAATAGTACCCAAACTCAAGTTGACCTTGAAATTTCTGATTGGTTAGTCTTAAGACCCCAAAAACTTTTGTTTTACACTGCAAAGATGGCAAAGACCTTATCAACAAAGTCAAAAGAATGAAAACTTTTGACATCCTTTTCTTAATCTTGAGTTTAATGAAAAATGATGCCCTCACCAAGTAAACATACAGTTGGGCAAATTAATTGGGTCACAGTTTCCCAACCACTTAATATTATATCATTTCACTAGGCATACCTTTGCTTTATAGACATTTCCCATGTTTCTGTGAATTCCTTTCCCTCCTGGCTTGTAAGAAGCCTGTTCTTGATCACTATCATCATCATTATCTTCTGCGAATGTAACTTTACGTTTTCTGCTAGGAGAGATCATACTTTCTTTGTTCAATGCTTCTTTCTTGATACCAAGATTGCTGTAGACCTCCTCTATGTCTTTAATAATAAAGAACATCATATTACAAGATTTACATCTTACATAACACTACATAATCCTTTTTCTTTTATTACTTATGAACATTCCATATTCTGATGATATTAATATTTTTTATACGATGAGTATTCACACCTTCGCTTCGAACGAGGACCTATACTACCGTGTTTCCCCGAAAATAAGACCTACCCCAGAAAATAAGACCTAGTCAATAACGTGAATTTTTATTTTTACCTAGTCGGTAGCAAGAAATCTTTGCTACACTTTTTAAACTATTAATAATCTATGTTTTGCATTTTTTTTGAATAAAAACGTGTTATTTATAAGTAGATGGATATCGGTTTTAATATTTCAAAATCTCGTTCTTTACTCTGAAATTTTGTTTTTGATAATTGAAAATATAAGAGTTAAGACATCCCCCGAAAATAAGCCCTAGTGTTATTTTTCGGAAGAAAATTGAAATAAGACCATGTCTTATTTTCGGGGAAACATGGTAGCGGCCATTGATATCTTATGATACGTGAAGAGCAACTTTGTTTTATTATTTCCGGTTCGGCATAGCCTACCCATTTGTAGCACCCTGGGTGAGGTGGGGACATGGTATTTTAACCCAAAACGTGGTATCAATACTATCTATGTTTGAACAGATTCTCCATGGAAAGATATGCCTAACCAGTATTTGTGTGCTATAGTTTTGAGGTTTTTGAAGAATCATATTACGATATTTCAATGTTACCCCGAATTGCATTTTGAGGGTTTTTGATTTTTAAACTTCTGTAGCTTTTCATTGAAATACTTCGGTGTATATTGCTTTAAACTGTGATTGAACACCAGCTTAAAATGCACCACTGGTACATTTTGTAATATTTTCAAAAGGAAATTTCATGAAATATTAGCATTCACCCTTTTGTTTTGAAACCCTCATATCACGGAGTTTCTATGAATTGCGATAATATTCTATTGAGTTTCATTATGCTTCATTATAAATACAATGCGAATGATTGTAATATTTATTGGACAATTCACAAACTCGAATTTGCAGCTATCATATTTTGTCATCTAATAACTGACCACCTAATAAAAACCACTTTAATGTACACATAATCTCCATACGTCCTTAAAACTGTTCAGGTATAGTAGGAATATTTTCCTGTCCTACCTTCCTTATTATCTTCATCATCTTCTCCTATGATCAATCTTCCATCTGGTGTTGATTTGAACGCTTCAACCTTATTTTTTGTAGATCCATGAGGATTTGTCGCTAAAATTATCAAAACAATATTTATTTATTATAATAATCCCGGGATAAATAGGAAAACCCTATATGTTGATTGTTGGAGTCTTTTCCTTTTCTATGCCTCCCTTTCAGTAACAACTTTATATTTAGATTCAGATCTTAGAAGGAATGTCATCAGCATCTTGTGACTCCTCTACCACTAAATTTACTTATATGATATAGGCAGTGACCATGTTTTGAGCAAACTCACTATAAAAACCAAACAAAATACTCAAATTCTTTTTCTCTTTTGAAAGATTTAAAGGCTTTAGTTTGTGATAATTTTTTACACTCGAAACTAGTAACTGGGTTGAGAACAACTCTTATTTTTTATTTCTATACCAAATTCTTACTTTGTTTATTACTACTGGTATACCAATGAAAATTTAGTAGCGTTACGCAGTAACCTGGTTGTTTGATTAGATTAATTATTGTATGTCCATTTAAGTAATAGACCTATACAAAGCGAAATTACTTCTGCTTGCCACATATAGTATATACCAGGGATGATCAAAGTGTGTTTACAAGGGCCACAGTCAGAAAGGGCTGCATTGAGAAATTATATGTGATTGTGATGTCACAGCAACTACTCTCAATCTCTATGGTGACAAATTTAATGGTGGTCGACGCAACTAGAGATGAATAAACACATTAATGCTATTTTAAGAATTTCATGAAAACTTAAATCTTGCGGTATATGTAGGAAATTTTCACAACTTTTTCCAAGAGCACGAGGCCGTACAAAACGCTTTGGCCCGCAGCACTCAGCCTAAGACCATATTATGGTGTTACAGAATTCTTACCAATAATTTTTTGCGAAACGGACTGATCAAGTAAATTCATTGGTTCGTCTTGTGAATCCTTCAACCATGCCGAACTATTTGAGTTTTTCTTTTTAGTTTTCTCACTGACGTCGTCATCATCAGAATCTGAATCAGCAAGTAACTCTTCGATGCTGAAATACGATCACTCAAGTTGAGAAAAACTATCATCAAAAATGTTATTTGTGAGAGTGCCAAAAAATATATAATAGGATAGGGTTTCAATATTCATAAGGAAAAAAGATGAGTCAGTTCTATTATACAGTGAACTACTGCCTCTCGTTCAGTTGCCGGTCAATGTCGGGTATAGGGGTAGTTGGGAGAGTGATTTTATCAGATGTATGTTTGACAGTGGAGGAACATAATTATTCTCCATGAGATTCAAACCTGCGACGATGTGCAGGGTAAACAGAGGTGCGATGGCAAGCAGGGTCCTAGCGCTTATCAGTTAAACTCTTCACAAAATTGAAAGGCAAAATCCTGATGCCGCAAAATTAAATTGAAAAGAATAATTTTTGACTTAATATCACCCATGTAAACCTGAGAGAAAATTTGCTCAGAGCAAACAATCTATTACTTCTTTACAAAACTTGGTAACACTAGATAGAAGATTGAGATATTAGAGATATCATCAAGAAAGTTTTTAATATGATATGGCTGAAATCCAATAAACAAAATACCTCTCTGCTTTCTTTGATTTAAATGTAACATCTTCATTGTCTGCGGTTGTTGTCTTTTCGTTTCTTTCTTTTTGTTGCCGCTTTAGTCTCTCTTTAGTTTTCTTCAAATTAGCTAGTTGTTTACGATGATCAGGCGGTACAAGTGAATTAATCATTTCATACCTGAATATATTATCACATATCCTTTAGAAAATTTTCCTCACAAAAAAAATTATATATTTTGTGGAAAATGTGTAAATTCAATCCTAATCTGTTTCCAATCTGGGTCCAGTCAAATTGTCACAAGAGCCAGTAATCACGGTGCAGCCACCAATCAGACTGATATATCTTCGGAACTAATCCGGTTCTCATATATCTTAGGCGGCAATCTGATCCATTGAAAATCTATATTTCTGTTGCTGCGAAAAACTAAAGATTTCTAAGCAGTGCACCTGAAATAGCGTATGTACCTTATTGGTATGAATATCTACAGATTGCAGGGCGGTAGAATAGATAAAACTGGTTTATAGTCTGGGCCTAGCGTTAGAAAGTGTTGGACCTAACCTAACTAGGGCTGGGCGTTTCGAAACACTGTTTCGATACGTTTCGAAACACTGATATGTTGAAACGGCGCTGTTTCGACTTCCGAAACATACATTATGACATCATAGCAATAACAATCTGAAATCAGTCGAAAATATCATTCAGCGATGTCTAAGTCGAATTTCATATCCGAATTTATTCGAATATCGCGACTCTCAAATATCGTTTTTAGTGTTTATAAGTATATTGAATATATTTCAACATAGTCGAGATAGTCTGGGTTACTGCGGCAATAAATCTAAAATCAAATTTTGTCGTAATTAATCTTTTTCATCCTTAGTTTCTATAGTGACCGAGCATTTCCTGCATTTGCCCCGTATGAACTAGCTCTTGAATATCATTTAGTATCTATCGCAGATTATATTGTTACACTGGCGTCGTTAATATTAATATAGTTCAGTGCAAGTTTGCGGTATTAATTTATAGGCAATAATAAAAGCATAACAGTCGACGTGAAATATTCAAATCAGAACTGACTTGAAGAAAATGAAACACGATTTTCAGTCTTAACTCTCCGTCATTGGCGGATGGAAATTTGTGAATTGGGTCGACTCATTTGATTACGACGATAATCGCGTTATAAGCAAAACAAACAGTCAAAATTTGTGGGGAGAGGGATAATTGTGGCGGAATTTAGCTTAACGATGTCGATGTCACGCTGACGATAAACAGTCACAACAAAAGTTAGCCGCGACAAAAATCCGAATTTATAATAATTTTACTGTTTAATTTAAATCATTTCTCTGGGCGCCTAGTTATAGCCTAATTTCAATCAACGATAATATCATGAAAGCCCATTTCCTGTGTTCATGGAGTTAAGAATGTATTTGGAATTCAGATTCAAAGATATTTTTTAAAATGTATTAGTCAAGTATTCGGTTGTGGCTTGGTATTATGGCTCTCCTTGGTATTATTACCCCACTGGATCACAAGGCTCTGTGACATCGGATAATATAGAAAATGATCCCAATTATTACATAAGATGAGGGCAGGGTCGCATTAATATGTTGAGAGGCCCCATGCTATATATGCTGCTTGTGAGCCCCATCTCTAACAATGACGTAATTCGTAATAATTATTCTGATGGTCACTGCATTTTGGTCACTGCTTTGTCATTAGCAAAAACCTTCATTGAATTATCATTATCATTTCATGCTCTCGAATTAGCCTCCAGTGCTTCGTTTTTGTGGTTTTAATTCTTGAAAATATGTGCAATTATACATTAAATTCGATGGGTAATGATGGTTTTATAGTTTTTGACAAACGTGTGTTTCGTTTCGATTTCGTTTCGAAGGCGAAATTTCGTTTCGATTTCGAAACACCAGTGTTTCGAAAATGCCCAGCCCTAGACCTAACTGTGTTGGCATCGCAGATCACACATTTACATTACAGTGGTTCAAATCCCAAGCCCTACCCCCCCATCAAAGGTGTGATTAAAGATTCCGCTCATTCCATTCAATAAGTAGCTTTTTACATAGCATTCAGAAATCTTATGAAAATCAGCAAATTTAACAACAATCAATTTCTCACCCGAATTTCTTCACCAAACGTTCCAACATTTTTTTCACTCTAAATCGGAAATGTCTTCTGGTTTCTGATTTCCATTCAAATAAAGCACCAAGCTGAGAAAAAGGATCATTGATAAATTTTTCATTTTAGAAAATACCAAAAAAATAAAATTTTTCTATAATATTAATGTTTATTGGGTGAGTGCGGTAATGTTTATTGGGTGAGTGCGGTGGCCTAGCGGTTAAAGCATTAGATTTAACAATGATGGCATGGCAGGTTTAAATCTCAGGTTCAATGCCATGCCCCCAACCCTACCCAGCATGTAATAAATTGGGTGGGTAATGCCGAACCAAAAAGATTCTGGTCCTTCAGTAGACGTGTCTGCTTGTTTAGAGTAAAGACACAAGATATATAGATGTGGTAGAAAAAAAAAGCATCATATTTTAGTTAAGTTGTCAACAACTGGTTAATAATTTGGCATGTTTTGCAACAAAACTAACTCCTGATATGCAACTAATTTCTTTTCATTTGCGATAATTGAAAAATCACATGATATTTGATGCAACACTGATATTCACTGAATCCTTTTAACTGAACATGACTGAAAATTTGTCACAGAACCCAGGACATTTAGAACTTATTCTAGAGAGGACATAACTTTCGTAAAAAGCGTCTTAGATTACTAACAAACAAAAGCTTTAAAGTTGCCTAAATTTTCATCATTTTCATATATAAAGAGATTTATGGATCATGTTTTATTTTGGGTCATTGTGTATTCAAATAATAAGTTTTGTGGCAAAATCGGGGACGCAAACAAAAACTGAACAAAACAATTACTAATTATTACTTACTATATCTTTCAAATGTTGAGCGAGAGTTGAACGGTCAAGTATAGTTATTAAAACTGTAACAAAACCAAGTGCGGCTTTACACACTTCTCTTGTGTTCGTGCCAAGTAAGAAGCAAACGTTGGTTATACAGTTGTTTAGAAGTTCTGATGACATTTTATCTGAAGCAAAATAAGTATTGAGATAAGTTTTCGCATTTGAGGCAATTGTGGCAAGATGTAAATCTTCCATAAACTATATTTAGAAAAAGAATAAAATTGATACGTGAATTTATTCAACTAAATTCAATAGCACCCGACGTGATTTCAAGAAGCAAGAATAAGAGAAAAAATTTGAAAACTGTGCCAGGACATATTACTGTTTAGCACAGTAATTAGGAATTCCATGAAATTTAATATTTACTGTTGCATCATAAATGAGAATAATAAAATAAATAATAATGACAACCACCTTTGAATTCATAAATCAATCTCGATAAGGCACATATTGATGCTGTTACTGTAACAGGAGATCCACCGAGTCCAGCAAAACAAATCTTAAAAGAAAAACAATGAATGAGTTAACGTTCAGTTTCCAAAGCATCACAGTTTTGTTTTCAATGATAAATATATGGCATCTGGAACATTATAAAACAGGGGTTCTCAAGCTTTTTCTCAGGAAGAACCTGAAGAAAAATTTTGGTCCAAGAGTTTGGTCACTCAAGACTCCATTTGGGGTCGCGACCCCTGGTTTGAACTTTGAGGACACCTGTTATAAGAGATTAATTAAACAAGCGCTTGCATTTGCAGCAGTACATTGAATTTCCAGTCTGATTGTCTCAAAAGGCATGATACTTCCCAATCATTAATTTAAGATAGAAATCAGAGCACTGACTGACGGATTCCTTTTTACCTGAAAATATTCCGCTAATGCTTTGCGTTGTAATTCGACTTTATTATCTTCGTCTGACATTCTTGTAGCGATTTCCATATAAACTTCACCTGCTGTAACTAAAATGTTAAATGCAGCAACTCGAGCTCTTTTCTTCTCTCTCGTACACATAATAACCTTGAGAAACAAAACACAAAAATTTCTTTAAATTAGGACTTAAAAACATAATAACCTCGAGAAATAAAACACAAAAATTTCTTTAAATTAGGACTTAAAGTGCAAGCAAGGTTTTTTGGTTAGATTTATGACATTAACTCTGGCTTCAGAAAAGTTTTGTGCTCAAAGCAACGTCACACGTACTCACTCAGAAATAATAGAGAATGATATCTTAGCAAAGTTATGAGCGACCGCCAACCACTAGAGTGCCATCGCCCATCAGCTACTGAAAATATAGCGTAATATAATGCACCTACAATTCATGCTTGGTAAAAAAATCAAAATTCTTAGAAGCATACAACTTAAGAACAAAGTGTCTCCATTTTTGAAATGCTAGTGCACGAAGTGTAATTTGATTGAAAAAAGTCTTTGAAATGTTAAGGCAACTTACTTCAGGTATCAAATCTCTCATAAACTCAATACATTCTTCAGAAGAATATTTTTCATTTCGGGCTAAAAGTTTTAATATCTTTTCCATGCACTTTAGTCTGGGTCCTGCATCATAAAAATTATCTTTATTATATTTAACGAAGTCCCAAAATTTTATACTCATAAATTATTAATACTGTATTTCCTGGCTAATAGGTCGAATTTCAAGACCAATATTTAAAAGATTCTCTGGGGTCACCGTATTGGGCGGCCTAATATTGCCTAATATTAATACTGTATTTTCTGGCTAATAGGTCAAATTTCAAGACCAATATTTGGAAGATTCTCTGGGGTCACCGTATTGGGCGACTTGGCTCAATTTTCTTTATTCTGGTTTCGGCTTATGATTAGATTTGGACCAGCGAACAACGGATAAAGGGGAGAATAACAAGCATTCCTTGTCAGTTTTCATTAATCTAGCGTTCTCACACTGTAAATCTGGAATATCTCTGCTGTGATTATTATATTTGACATTGCCGGTTGGCTAAAAAATAGGGTATTTACCTTTTGAAGACGGGCTGGCAGCAGTCAAGCCATTAGTAAGAAGTTCTTTGATTTCGTTCAATTTACTGTCTACAAATGTTCGGCAGTCGTCAGTGTTTGACCCACAAACTTCTTCGAGCAGGCGGTAGGCTTTCTTTTGCATACTTCTGTTAAAACTATTCAGCATCGGTTTCATGTCCTGAAAAAAGATAATTTGACACAATTCGACAAATCCACCAACTTTAAAGAATTTTATTTACGGTAGTATCCGAAGTTGGAAAAAAAATATTTCAAATAAATTCAGCTTGTATTTTAGCCATTTGTAACATCAGTAAGGGGTGTGTGACAAATGTTAAACTTAGATGACATGGATAATCTGACACATCTCTGACTCATCTTGAAAATGAAAATATTCAAACATGGTCATAAATCTTAGTAGTACAACATCACAGGGAGTAATCGGATACATAAAATAATTCCATTATATTTTCTCATTGATAGCATAACATATCACAAGATAGAATTATTATTTAATTAATAAAGCAGAACTGATTTGAATCATTAAAATTATCGAGATGAATAAAAAATTTTGGTGCTTCAGAAGAGTGTGTACCAATATGGAGTCAACTAATTTTGTTCTCCTATTTTACATCAAGTTGTGTAAAGGGACTGAATCCTATGCACAGGGGGTATATTCACTTGGCTAAAACAGACAGTCCCCGAACTCGTAATAGAACTAAAATAAGGAAAATTGGAATAAAATGATGGCCTAACCCTAACCTGGTACAGACACTACAGGAGTATCAAAATTTTCAGCACACAAACATTGAATCAATATTACTATGGTTTTAGTCATTGTTTCTTCTAAAATAGTTTTTAGATAGTCTACATCCATTGCATGCAAGAGAGTCCACATGTAATTCTTAGCAATCAGTGGTTACTTAGACTCCAACAGTGATATATTTGTTAGTGGATCAGTGCTTGAGACCTTGCTCAAAACAGGGCTTGCATAAAACTTTCCATGATAGATAAAGCTCCAGAAATTTTCGGCTCCATCTCCTAACCATTTAATTATTTTTTCATATTTATAATTTTGTAATACTTTATAAAAGAATTAACATCCCTCCTTTCCTGCTTAAAATTATTTTGAATAGTTTTTATTATTTAATCCCAACTACCAATTCAAAAGTTTCACGACAGAAAATTAATTTTGAAATTTGAAAACGTGGCTCATGTTTCATGGCAGTAGTCATACTAAAACAAATCAAAGAATATGAAGCTGGAACCTCTCCAGTAACAAAGTAATTTGTAATTCAAAGCATCTAGCCCTGCCTTAGAGCAAACACACATCACCTAAAAAAAAAACATGGGGTGGTGAAAAAGATAAATAGCAATGATGTGTGTAATTCATAACAGAAACGTAAAATTCACCTGATAAACATTGTTCAAAGTATCGACATCTGTATACATAGCCATTGCTATTAATAGATCAAGTAAAGACAATCTTGTCGCATCATTTTCATCAATAGCATTGAAAACTCTTTTCTGAGCTTTTGAAAAATACCTGTGAAATATCAGATAGTCTCAGTTCAGCATAAAAACTTTATTATTCATGAAAGTAAAACATTGCAGATAAAAGGATGAGAAACGCAAAAAAATAGGTGTGTGAACAAATTTCAACACATACAGAATTACAGAAGCAAATAAATGTTTCCTGTTTTAAGTTTTCAGGCAGGGATAGACTGCATTAAAAAAACTCCACATGGCCATCATGACTATAACAGCTTGACCAATCCAGTTGCTGTTAGAATTATACATGAAAATCTTTTTGGTGCTAGTAAAGAAACATATTATACCAAATGTAAAAAATGACATTGAATCAAATTGACAAAGTGAAACTAATCAAGGAAAATATTACAAAATTTGTAGGACTTAAAAACATGACTCCCACTTAGGTTTTCTTGTTTAACCACAACTGTGAAACATCAGCCAAAATACAGTTTTGCATATAGGAGGATTCAAAGCTATGATACAAAGTTTCCAAACTTGAACTTTTTAACATACAAATTTGACTTGAAGCTTTGAAACTATTATTGAAAATTAAAAGTTGAAAAAAGGATTATAATAAGAAAGGAGTAGATCTTATAATTCGTAGGAAAAATTAGATTATAAATGTAAATAAATGATTGGATGGTAAGAGGCTGGAGAAACAAAAACTTCAGGTAGCTTCAGCTCCAACAAAAGGGCTCCAGACTACGGCTCTCCAGTGCTAGTACGAGGTTTAAATTTTCCATTATTTTATAACGAGCATACCCAGAAATCATCTTCTTATCTGCAAGCGGTAAATAAAGTCTGATGGTTTCGAGTGCAGCGAGACGATCAGGTGATTTCTTTTTATTCAAATCAACGTCCGATTCTTTTTCGCTGTCATCTTCCATCTCCACGTCATCCGTGGAAGGAAGAGTGGTGTACAAATTGAATAAAATTGGAAGATAGTTTTTGGCAAAGCGACTGATGGTTTTTCTACAAAGAAAAATCATGAAATTGTTACAAAAATTAAATAGAAGTAATAATGTAGATTAGAATAATGTCCCCATAGAAAAAAATTGGGTTTAGTTATAATTAATCTACGATGACTTCAGTTCAAATGATCTTTTGGCCTTATATCAGTGGGCCTACCTTTTTTCAAATAACTCAAATTTCAAAAAAAAATTGAACCCAAAAATATGAACTACCGGTAATACTAAACAAAATGTAGTCTAATTCTTTTATGCAAAATTAAACTTCTAAAAAATATAGTTACAATCGCTAGCACTCAACAGCAAGTTGATTTATTACTGGCATACCATCGGTAATCTGAAGTTAAAAACTAATTGTAACATCCCAATCAAAAAAATACCATGATACTTCATACACATCTATTATTATTAAGCAAAGTCATTATTGACAAATCAATATATTTTTGTTTTTGTCAAAAAAGGCGACATAGGAGGATTTTCAGGTGAGACCCACACACTGGGCAGCACCGATTTCAATTATAAAAACTGAAGTTGGACAATTGAGGGTTGTCTATTCAATACCATTCTCTTTCCTTGATATTATATGATATAAAATTCCCCAATTAAGCCACTTTTTTATGATGATGAAATTTACCTGTCATTCTCAGCAGTACATTTCGTAATCAACGTCCTCAGTGCCTGCATTGCAATTGGTCTCAAATCCTCACGTTCAGTGATTGCCGATCCAATTGTTCTCGCCAAGGTGGAAAAAGCTGCTGGGACGTCCGTGGCACCATCACAAAAATTGGGCAGTAGCAACCAGATTTGATATTGCAGCGTGTCATATGGAGCTGCGAGTGATTGCTGACTGGATGTCTTGAGTTGTATAGCTGTTTAAATTGGAAGTTGTGTGGTTAAATCCAAATGTGAGCATTATAATATAATAAAAAGAACTTAAAAAAAAATATATAGGCCTACTTCACAAAAAAGAATTCGCTGATCACCATAACATTCCAAGAAAGTGTTAGCAAAAACCCTAGAAACACCCCAGCCTCCGAATCCCACCACTGATTAAAATAAATACTTATCGACAAACATATGGATCTATATTAGGTTCTAATGAAGAATTAAAAAAAAAGAGGAAAAATATGAAAAATTTCTGCATCAACTTCAGAGAGTTATTATTAATTTAACCATGTCTTCTAATGAATTAGTCAATGTGTAGGAATATCTCTCTTAAAATAAGTTTAACAAAACCTGTTTAGGATGGACATACCCACAATGTTATAATGAGAAGGCATATTGTACAATGTGTAATAAGTGCAATTAAAAAGATTAGGAATACAAAAAACAAGCAAAGTTTTTTGAACCTCTCAACATGACTGCTGGAAAAAACATTTATCATAGTGTCAAATCCAAATCTTAATTTCCTATCATTCCTATCAAATTTAGATGAAAAATTCACCTTTGACTCGAATTTTAGCAGCAAGAGGAAGAAAATATGAGTTGAAAAATCCAATTTCAGTGTTTTTCACATGATCTCGTAACAATGGAAGAAGCCAACTTCTAGGAAAGTTGTAGTCAGTTCTGTAGAGATGAAACATAAATGAATATAGGATAAAAAAATTTTGAATCAGCACTTAAAGAGAAAAATGATTGACCTCAATTTGTACGAATAAATTCCATACAGCATTTCTATTTTTAACCCAGGCCATGACAAATTGTGAAGAATTTAAGTAGCAGCGTATGTCATTATTATTCAGGGATGAGTGTTTTTTGATTTTTTGTCATTGTGAACCATTGTGTCTATTTCCGATTTCAACACTGTAAGTTTAGAGCAGACCTTTCCAATCAGTGTACTGTGGCACATTGTTGTGAAATGAATGAATTGAGAGTGTGAAGAAAACAAAGATAGTTTTGACTTAATATTGGATGCTGGATGTGGACAGGGCAAATTACTCAAGAATTTTTTGCCCTATTTCAGTTGAGTATCGGATTTGACATCAGTGAAGATCATAATAAAATAGCTAAACAAAACCATGATGCCAATAAAGTACAGTTCTATATTACTAATGAAAGCTCAATGCCCGCAGGGGACGAATCTGTAGATGTAATAATAAGTTATGAAGCTGCACACTATATGAATAAGGGAATACTGCATACTATATGAATAAGGAAAGCCAACGAGTGCTGAAAAACGAGGGTATAGTTGCTATAGCTTGGTTTAAATTATCTGGCGTGGAAATACACGATTCAGGGAGTAATTCAAATAAGATATCAGCAGACAATATATTTCGAGAATATTACCGTACTCGAAATCATTGAATAATACTTTTTTGATACGAATCATCCTGTATATCAATGCACAGTTGGATATCGTGATATATATACAAAATAAAAGAAATTAAAAAAAATTTAAAAATATCACTGCATATTCAGATTTATCACTCAGGAAGCTGAAAATATTTCTACTATCTCAACCCACGTTCAACAATCACCACAAACTATATGAAACAGAATCTGCACCGCTAACAGTGATAGGAGAAAAATTGAAGAAGTTGATAAATAAACCCAACATAACAGATGAGAATGTTAAACTTAGATTAAGGTCACAGAATTCGGTTATATTCTGTTCGAAATAAACAAAATGGTTGAATACCTTTTCATATATCATATTTCATAACATGTATATATAATTGTATTTTTAAATACAGATCAATAAGTTATGTACTAGCACATTATTTGTACATTATGTCACATTTCTCCATTTTCGTTTCAGATTTATTGTCACATTCTTGCAAAGTTTCAAAAAATCGTTTTGCTCCTATTTGCAATTTATAAAAACGATAAAAGGTACTTTCTAACAATCTCTAAATTTCACAGTTTAAAGTTGATATTTAATAATAAGTAATATTACAAGTAGCTACATTTTTAACAATACGCAGAACTGGAATATGATGCAAGTTACTCCAATAGATTATATACAAATTTGCTAGTATGGTGAGTTTTTTTTTAGACGTAAACCATTTGATGTGAACTTTAGTATGTGTCTTTCATTTATTACTACATTTCTTATAGTAATCACACAAATAGATAATGGAAATTTCCACAATCAACTAGTTATTGCATCAATAATATAATAGAATTTGGAGATTTATCCAAAGACAGAAGAAGAAAGCCAATAAGAAAGGCTTGATCAGTATCCATGTTAGATGTACAAAGTAGCTAATTAGTTCAAAACCCAATCGTCAAGGAATCAGTAAGAAAACAATTGTTATGTAAATCTCTCGTGATAACAATTAAATCTTAAATCTGAGGAATTGGTGTAATATACTCCGGTATTACACTCTTATGTAATGAGCTATTCGAATAGCAATTTTGAGTTAAGTTGAGTTTTCTGTGCATATTCATTATCTATGCAAAAAAGTATTTCTCCACGATAAACACTCCATGCTAATTCAGGAATTGCCATAAGGAACACTGGGCTATAACAAACACATTAGAAAAAAATATTGAATCGAATCTGGAATTTCAAAAACATTCTAAAATCTGGCACAACTTATGAAGTATAGCTTTCATTTGTGCTAGCACAAATAGGGGAGTAACTAGGATTGCAGAGAGACACAACATCTCAAGTTTCTTGTAAACACAAATTAATGAAAGATGATGATACGATTAAGATCAATTTTTCAGTTTCAGTATTTTTCAAAAATGAGCAATAGTGTGTGGGAGTGGGACTATATTAATTGTATCATGATTTGATTTTACTTAATAAAGGCTATTGATGATACCTCACAAACTACTAATAAAGAGCATATACCAATACCCTTGTGTAACTAAAACATTTACAAGCATGATTAGTGTTATACAACTGTTCTTCTTGCACAATGATAGTAACACGAAACACTTGACATAAATAATAAACAAAATACTCACTCAGTTCCATCAATCATGAGAGGAACGGCTTCTAACAACAATCTTGGTCCTATAGCAACTGTTGCAGCTCCAAGTGCTTTATCAAGAAGAACTTTATGAGGAAACAATGGAGTATTGCGTAGATCAGCCATTGAAGTTATGCTATTACAAACCTGAACACATTAAACATAGGAGATGACAATGGTGTGATTTGATTATGCAACAATATTTTAACAAGCTTTATTATAAGAAAAATGTAGTCCTAAATTGAATGTCCATAGACATACATATCAGGGGTGCAGCCAAGATTTTCAAAGTGGAAGGGGATTTAAAATTGGAATCAGAAATTTCCATGGACAGGCGTGTGAAACTGTGCTGTGATTAAGCTACTCGTTAAAAGAAACAACTTTTCCATCTGATGATAATGTATCTGTTGCATACAATATTCAATTCACAACAGATTTCATACAGCATTTATAATGTTTTGCCTACATTAGAGTTGACAAATGATAAAAAAAACTGTAAAATAACTTTAAAAATATAAACCTTAGATGCTGGTCACACACTTATTTCATGCAAAATTCAAACACTGAGTTAAAAATTGGATTTGAGTATTTATAATAATAACCCCACTTACTACTTTGAAATTTTCTGGCTTTGCCAAAAATTTATATGCTGCATGGAATATTTCAAAAATCAAATCCCATACTGAGTGATATTTATAACGAAGTCCATCTTCAAGTAATCTAGAAAGAAAAAACATTATGAAATAGGAATTATAGATCTTGTTAATGTGAATAAATGTGAATGTGGCAAATGTGAATAAAAAGCTCTGGTTTTAAGATATATTATGCAAATTGCATTATTATACTGGTTACCTGAAATTGAGATGTTATATAGACACCTAGAGAAACATTTATTCAAATACTTAGGCAAAAACTGATTTGAACTAGAAAACCAGCTCAAACAGCATTCATTTCTTTTTAATTTTTGCAAATAATTTTTTTTAAATACCAGCATTCGCCTTTTTGTCCCAATTTGCTGAAAATAGCATTGGTTACTAATTGTGAATCTGGAGAACAACGAGTTAAATGATTGAGTGCAAATGAAAATGAATCTAGTGTGTATGATGCACATAATGAAAGGCAGTGAAATAGAGTATGGTGGTGGCCCCCATGCTATGCTGCTCAAAAGTTATAACTATCTAACAGGTTTATTTCGAAAGTTTGCTTCATCACCATCATCAACTTTTGTAAGCAACATAATAACATTTGATTATTTTTATGTAAAATTTCCCTTCAGAAGAGGTACGCAAGCACTGGTAAATTGTCAGCGCAAGGCGCATCTGCAATGATATTCAGTAATGAATGTATTAAAGTGCAATAATTACTTGAAAATGTCTTTAACGTTTGCTTTAAACATTGTTGAAACTTCTTCACAAGAACCATAAGAATGTAAAATTTCCAGCACTGCCTGGAAAATATACAAAAATTGAGTCACCGATATCACAAAAAATATTTCACAACTTTATTTTATCATTAAATTAACAGAAATAAGACAATTAAAATTTTGAAATACCATATTTAAAGGCCCTAACACAGCCTGTAAAATTAATTGGCCATCAGGTATCAGGGACACATGGAATATATAAAGTTTGATTCTTCAAGAAACACATGCGGATTACAGAAAAACAAGATGTATCTAAGGACATATATAGGGTAATGAGTCCAGGGGGTTCAAAATCAGAATCAACCCCCTAGCTGTACCACTGAATGAATCATTTAGAAATTACAAACTATGGTGTTTTACAGTCTGGCCTGGCATACGAGTTTCTGCACAATGCACGTCACAAGAAGAGTGCTACTTTTTAATGATATTAATAGTTCATTTTTCTGAAATTTGATATTTATGTGCTCCTTTAAATTTGAGAAAAATAATTTGCAACCAATTCCATGTTCTTCATCATTATTATTATTATTTATGCCAACCTACCACTACTGTTGATGCTGCTGATCTTGAAGAATGTCTTATGCCAGATTCCATAATTTTCAAGCATGTTTTACAGAGCTTTGCAATGTGAGCAAGAGCGAGTTGTCCCACTTGAGTTTTCTTCTGTAACAAAACGAATGTAACATATCACTCGGAATGAGTTTCAGGAATAAAGCCAGTATTAAAAATGTCCTAAAAAATAGACTTAATTTAAAAGAAATTGAGATCAACCGAAAAACATTCATAAAAAAAATTGTAATTAAAATGTGCTGATGAGACATCAATAAAATATCAGTCCAACATACCTCAGTTAAAGTCTGATATATAAAACTCATATTCTTTACAGATTCCTCCATCACAGCCAGCCAAGCTTGTAGAAGTTGAATATCATTTGCAGAAGGAAGATAATCATACAGTGCCTAAACATAGTGAAGGAGTACAAATTATTTATTATTCCCATCAAGTACAGCGTGACCCCTAAAATTAAAACTTTTGAGTGCAACCATACATATACAAACAGAAGTTCAAGTGTTAAATAAATTGTCTTCATTTCCGTAAAAGCAATTAAGTAATTCATGGTCAGGAAAATCTGTTTTATTAGATCGCACTGTACTTGACTTTAAAAAATCATAACATTCTATATTGAAATAAAAAGACTAAGAATAATTGAGTATTCTATAGTTCATAGAGATTTTATCTCTGTCTTTTCGTATAATGTAAGTTACTCATTAATATGTGTGTTGATACATCTCTAATCTCTATCTTAAATCCCATGTCCCATACCCATATTGTTAGATATAGGTGGCTTGCGAAGGCTCTTGTTTGAAGCAAAAAGCATGAGCAAACGTCACAATTCCACAAGCTTTGTTGAAGATAAATAAAATGATATTAGAAAATACTGAAACTATAATAAAACGGACTTACAGTCATCAATTGTGCATTCATTTCTGCAGACAAAAATTCCGGCTTGGGTCGATTTTTGAACATTGTGTGAAAAGCCTGAAATAGCATACCAATTAAAACAGTGTGTGCAAAAAAGTGAATTGAATATATTTCAACAATAAATGTGTTCAAAAAAGTTTCAATTGTATTTTCAAGTGTCTAACTGCATCAGATCAGTCACATCGATTAGCAAAGAGCTATGGCTTGTATATGTACGGGGTGAAAGCACTGTAACAAGGCTTACCTGCAAACACACAGATTTAACAATAGGCTGACTGAGCATCATCAATTTTAATATAGTTTCACATGATTGTTTAAGAGAAGCTGATGGAAAGCAATGCAAAATTCCACTAAGCAAGGATACCGCGTGACAAACAGATGAAGAAGCATCTGACGAAGTTGATCCTTGAAATAAAAATTGGAGTAATGTTATATATAAGTTTTTTTATTAACTCGAAAAAACAAAGCCCTGTTGAAAGAGTAATTTTCAATAAACCATCACTTGGTAGAAGGGAGAGGGAGCTGGTTTGATATTAGGTATTTCGGCTTACGCACCCCAGAATATTCAAACTGTTGCTCCAGCTACATTTACAGCGCCTCATTTTCTTACACCATGGCTGAGTTCCAGCACCAACTCCAAAGCCATTTAGGCTCTCGGTATGAGCCACTAAAATTTCTGGTAGCTCCAGCTCTATCTATTATGGTAGGCTTGGCTCCGACTTGAGACGACTCCGACAACAAAATGTCACAGCTCCATGACTCCAGCTCTGTCTGACAGTCAATAATTAATTTTATTTTCAATTGACAATATACAGATATTAAGAATATAGACAACATGCAGTTTTCAGCCACTAATAGCTTAATTTTTGTGTAAAAAGAAGGGGGTTCAATTAAAATTATTGGCACCTGATTTTTCGATAAATTGAACACAATATTTTGCAGTCGTTGATGCAGCAGGATGTACTTTAGGAGGTTCTTCTGTCAACATAAAACAGCTCGCTTTCAAAACAGCACAAACTCCATTTTGGGCAGCTTTTCTGATCTGAAAGCAGGAGTATTGAAATTAATAATGTTATTATGAAAACTCCATAATAGATATTACAAAATTAACTTCAACTAGTGATTCACAGAGCTAGGAAAGGCAAACGGATTAAGTCTTGTGATGAATTGTTTGCCTCTAACACAGTGAACATCACTAGGGTTGCATATCCGTACAAAAACATCTCTTTCAATTAGTATGCCATAATCATAAATCAGAGCTTTCGTCCGGAGCAGACTGCGCTGTTTTTTACCAAAGGTTCATTTGCAGTACATAAGGATTACTGAAACATGTTTTGTTGAAAATTGAATGAAGAAGTTTATCAGCGCACACTCAAGTCTTTATACATGATTCGCCTCTGTCAAAATAGTTGTGTTGAGTAGCATTTAGTTTTTGACAAAGAAATTGGGGTAACTATAGAACATAATTCGATGATTCCAGGCTAAACACATTTATATATCTTAAATTCATCAATTCAAATTATCAACATTTTTCGCAATATTTTGTGGATATCAATAATCACTCACCTTTGGTTTTGAATGAAAAGAATAAGAAAGCAAAGTTTGATAAACGTTAATTGTTGATAGATGAGACCAGGTTTCGACAGTCTGAAAAAAGTATATGATATTAGGTTACATGGAATAAACATTGCTCTTCAACATTAAAAGTATCAAGCACAAATTCAATTTGTGTTAGTACAGAATATTAAACATTTTGAGGTTCCAATCCTATGCTCAGGGTGTAAGAAATTTGGTATGGCGTCTAAAGAGAGAAAATTCCAGTCCCTAAAAATAAAAACTAGATTCTTACATATTATCAAATATCAGTGGTGTTTGTAAAGATTCTTGTTCGGAGTAAAAAGGAATGAATACAAGACATATAAAAAATAATAAAATGGATGCATAGAAAAAACTTGTGTTTTTTTATATTGAACAAATTTACAATAAATTCAAAGCTTTATTAAGGGCTACATGCGGCTCACGAGCAATAGTTTTTCTCATTACTGCCCCATAGGAAAAACAACGGAAGTGTATGTACCTGATTCCGAAGTACTGTAGCTAAACATATCAGAAGCGATCTAACAAGAGCAGTTGGTGATTCACTCGAAATATTTGAAAATCGTTCAAGTGTTTCAACAAGTAGTTTTGAGACTTCTGAAAATTTGGCTCTTAGGACAGGTTGTGGAACTCTGTAACAGAACAAATTAACGTTTGTCATGGCCATGGGTATAGCTAAAATAAAATAAATTTAACTCGGTGGTTCCTAAAGTTAATTAAACGGGGGCCAAAGTTAGAAGCGGGAGGATTTCGCGGGCCAGGAGAGTAGAGCACCCGCGAGGAACCGAAAACGGTACGTATAATTACCGATGATAATAATCCAATACCGGTATAATTGATGTGTTACAAATATACTTTTTTAAATTAACTGACATGATTTCAAAAATACTTCGACAGTGAGATATTTTTTAAATTAAATCACAAACAATGGAAATCACAAATCAATGAATTACTTAATGGAAAAGAATATAATATTGAGAAACATTTAAGATTTAAAAATTTATTATGAATATATATCCTATCTCGATGTATGTTAATAAGTACATTAGACACCTACCTTTTACATGTCATTGACAACAAGTAAGAAACTGCTGTAACTGATTCAACATTTTCAACAGAATCCAGAGCAGTAACTAAAGCAGCAAAATAAGCAGTGTCAGATTCCTCACCACCTTGCTGTCGAATAACTTCAGTAATTGCGGCAATGACAGCACAGACCTGGAATAATAATTTCAGTTGAAAAACGTTAATATCATATCCATATCAGACAATTTTTTGGAAACTCAAAATATGAATTAGACTTATCTAAAAATATCCTTCAAAATTTGACGAGTAATGTTTATAATATCCTTACACCTTACTTATTACTTATCGATCTTAAGATCGGTAAGTATATTGATAGGTATTTGTCTGTCTGTGTGTGTGTCTGTTAGATGCACGCGATATCTCACGAAAGCGAGATTGAATCTGCTCCAGATTTTGCATGTGCATTCATCTTATCTCGGACCAGAAGCCTATTGATTTTGGGCGAATTATGTCGTATAATTAGCGAGTTATCAATCAATTATTGATATAGTGATCTAGATTTTTGTAAAGCGAGAGAATTTTGAAACCCGCCGAGTGTGTGTGTGTGTGTGCGATGCGCAGTGTGCAAGTTACAAGAGCGGATGAATCGAAACTGCAGTTTCTGTTTTGGGGGATCCCCTAACTATCGATCGATAAGTCTTCGGTTTCCAACCGATATTCTCGTTTCAGTATCAGTTAATTGAAGGTAATAAACCAGGATATTACTCATTTTTAAGTTTTATAATTCAATCAAAAGTGCTAATAATAGAAAACAATATTTCATATGATATAAAATTTTTTTGTAACATTTGTACTATTGTGGCCAATTTTAGATGCAGCACTTATCAAAATCGGAAAATATCTCCGATCTAAAGCATAGCCTAGTTCAGATTATTTTTAATCTTATGTCATTTCCAAATCTTTCGTTAAAGTTCATTCTGGTTATTCTGTTATCGGATAATTTTGGATTCGAATGTATACTATAAATTGCCAAGCCCGATAATTTAAATTCAGATTGGGATAATCTACTCAACACAGGGAAAATAATTATTAAAGGGTGCTCAATCGATAGTGTAGCAAGCAACTCTACTAGGTCTCATGTTATCCAGATTTTGAATATTTCAGAGAATTTTCATTTTCGAGAAATCGATACTCATTCTCGAGAATTGCTTCATTCGAAATTCGTGTTGACATTGCTTCAAACTGAGTCAATTTGGAATCCCGAAAATTACAGCTATACAGCCATACAGTTATAAGCACCTCTTTATGTTTTGCAGAATTGTTTTGCCAATATCGTTGTATTTTTTTGAAAGTTATGTTGCTGCAATCAGATAATCCACTAAGAAAAGTACCAAATGTTTGACCTCCTTCACTTCCATCATCATCCATTGATGGGCTGAAAAAAAAAAGAATTTTGTGACCATTGAATATATTATAGCCAATAACAATTTTCCAATGACCATGGCTTCTAATGTTTTATAAAACAATGACATCTGCAGGCTGCAGCCATGACACTTTTGATTGAGACGGAACAAGTGAATTTACTATAATTATATATTAAAATCATTTTTAATAGCAAATTTATACCTGTTTAGTATAATATATTGGTAAAAATATTTCAAAAGCATTACTAGTAATAGCAAGTAAGTTTTAGCATCTGGAATGAATACTAAGCATATTACTAGCTGCGTAAATATTTTATTTTACGAATAATAAGATACTGACATCACAAGAATATTGCTTCACCTTAAATGAGAATCCTGCATTTCATCATGAATTTTCAATGCTTCCAGCGTCAATCCTGTATTTGATTTTGAAGTTGGATGCAAATGAAAGAACTTTGATCTTGCTTTTTCTCTATACTTTTTCACATCAGGGTTAGATGAACTACTTTGACCTTTTCTCCATCTTTTTAATTTCCCTTTATTACCTCCTTTGAGTTTTCCTGCTTTTACCATTTTTAGGGTGTGTTTATACCTTCTTATTGAAGTCTACACTAATGAGAAATGCTAAGGAAGAAGATAAAACATGATAGATCAAGCATAATGCACATTTATGCAGCTTATTTTAAATACATTTACATATTTGAAATGCATAAATTCTGAAATTATTTATAGAAACCACAGCCAGTAATAACCCCTGAAACGTGATGTCAAATTTGTATCGCTTCGTGACGCAAATTTGTAATTTATAACACTGTAATCTTAACTACAACTTCAAGGAATTCAATTCGGGAGAAAAGAAAATCGATTTAATATGCATTGATTATATTTATATTTCATCACTATCCTGAATAAAATGATGGCTGTAATTTTAATAACTCATTTGAAATCAGCACCGAACAAAAATGCACATTGTTAATAAAATAAACTGCATTTTTTCATCTTAAGTATGTATGTATGTTTATTTGCCTCAAAAATGCAACAGTACATATGCGTAGTGCAGTGTTGATCCCAATAGCAAAGTGCGCACCATACTGCCATAGTCATGAGAATTTCTTTTAATTTACAATATCTAAAAATAGAGTTAACACAACATTTTATCTGTCCCAGACAGCCAGAGCTACTAAAAATATATTTATGATGCTTTTTCATTTTATTTTTTGTGTACATTTCGCTTCGCTGCTTTGTGACAAAAATTAAAATCAAGTAGCTTAGACATTAATGATAATATGGTTCACATTCAGACATTAGGCCTATCAGCCTACAGCTAATTCACTCCAAGTACATGAATGATCTTTCAGTCTTTAGTCTTGTCGATTGCTGTAGTCCTGTAGTCAGGGCCGGATTTACCATTGTGCAAGGTAAGCTGAAGCCTAGGGAGTAGGGGCCCACAAGCCCCAGACTGGATTCCATGGCAGATGCACGCCCGATGGCGCTAGCGCTCCACAAAAATAAATACACGCGAGCGAATTCAATTTTGCACGCCGAAAATTTGCAATTGCTCACCAATGTAAATCGGTTTAAAAGGTTTTTAAATCAATAATCTAGTAATATAAAGATGCCAAAAAATTATAACTTTACGATTGTCGACTGATAATTGCTTGCAAGATTTGGCCTGATCGAAAAATGCGGCAAGCAAAATACACCATATCGTGATGAATGATAGGAATCCCGTGAGAAAAATCGCCTCCTCACCGACGCTGGCCAGTTATGGCTCTGATTCAGCGTATTTTTAATACAATAATTTTACACGGATGTACTGAACAGTACCGGTATCTAAAGTCGCACAAGCACTCTCAAAATTGAAATGATATATGAAATATAGAAATGATGTTTGGGGGTCAAAGGTCAAACGTCCATTTTTGCTATGATTCAACTTATTTTTTATCCAATACTGGTAATTTTACGCGGATGTATTGAGAGGTATCTTAGGTAGAAATCAGTTTAGTGGGCGCAGTTGTTTTGCACGCCGTGAACTATAATTGCACGCCAGAAATTCTTATTTGCACGCGGAAATTTCTGATTGCACGCCCGATTTCTCGTTCGAAAAGGCCATGAAATCCAGACTGGCACAAGCCTTAGTTAGGGGCTTCGACATCAGGCCTGAGCTAGGTTATCAGGCCTTTCACTTTTGAATCATTTTCAAATGCTCTGATAGGCCTACGATATTTGTTCAATTTTAGAATCAGTTTAATAATTCTTGTCCCAAATATTTATCGTTTACGAAGATAGAAATATGGTCGAATAAATTAAGTGGTCTAAATTTAAAAAACTTCAACGTTACACGTTCTGACATTTATTAACCCCAGAAACATAATACTGTAATAGGGTACGCCGGTACGGTACTACAGTACCGGTACTAATATCTGAATACGGTACCATAACCGGTACTGGAATATGGGTACCGGTACTGTAATACCAGAACACCAATACCTTAATCGTAATTCTTAAATTCCTTGTTAATTAATGAAAACGATTCAAATAATAACAAAGCACCGTACTACCGGTACGGCTGTACGGTATTCAAGCCAAGCTATGGTACGGTAATTCAGTAGGCCTACCGTAATTAGGCTACCGGTACCGGTACCGTAATACTTTTTTTCGATTTTTACGATTGCGATATTTTTTATCGTACACCCGCTAACCTAAAATATTGGAATGATATATCAGTATATACTATAGGATTCACAATGAGCGAAATTGCCGAAAGTCTAGTTCATTTTTAAAAACTCTACCTAAATATCCATTAGTTACGGTACCGAACAAGTACTAGTGAGATTATCCATTGTTTCTGTATTTCCATCAAAACTTGTACATGAACGCACGTGTTATGCTCAGTCATCCATGACTTTATTTACTGCTGTATTTTGGATATTGAAGCGCAAATATTTCTATGGTTTATATAGGGAATTATATCATCCTTCAAGCTGGGACCTCACACGCTAAGTTGTTTTGGAACTGAAAATGTACTATGTTTGTAGAATTGTGAGTGATTGTTCTCCAGCTCTTGAATATTATTTGTAATTGTACCAGATTGGGGTTAGGCCATAAGCTCATTCCGACTTTCCCTATTCTAGTAACTAGTTCTATTACAAGTTCGGGGATTGTGTGTGTGTTAGCCAAGTGTGTATATCCTGTGCCCACGGGTTTCTGTCCCTTTACACAACTTGGTGTAGAGTAGGCGAATAATATTAGTTACCTCCATATTGGTACACGAACTTAGGGAGCGCTCTTTAGTTTTATTTATATGTACCAGAGCCATTATATAACCGTTATATAAGGGCTCTTATATGTACTACGGAACCAGAACACGCAATAATATTGAGATGGCTACGCAAAATACTTAAGGCGATAAAATAAAGCCAAATACAGGTAAATGAGGAAGCAATTCCGATAAGCCATCTTGGCTAATGTTTTGTGGTCGTTTTTGTTCGATTTTGACTGATACGTTGGCCATATTATTAACCCACGACTTTCGCAAATTCATAAAACTGCCAAAATTAGCATCGTATGGTGAGCTGGGATATATTAGCGTTTAATACATAATGAGAAACGAATCAAGATCAGGTGAATATACCAGAAAAATCGACGCAAACGATTGATTTCTGTCAAATCCCATAAGAAATCAATTAATTACGCATATCGTAAAAGTTGGAAGTCTATCGTCAAAACGAGAGAGCCTTCAAATGGTCCCGCGGAAACGGGAGAGAAGCGCACTCTATTTATATATCTCTGTGGGTCTGGTGCTGTCATCGTATATGGCGGTGCAATGGCAATTTTTTGGATTGGAACTTTAAAAACCGGATAAACATTAATCCTCTAATGAAGCCTATTTCAAAATTGGGATCACAGAACTGTAACTGGGAACAGGAGAAAGCCAGGGATGGCTTAATCATTGATAAACAGTTGGATTTTCTTAAATGATTTAGCCTACAAAAGTTGTTACTGGCGAGAAGTACAAACAGACGAGAAGAAGAATGAAAACCTACAAGATGGTAGAAAACTAATACTTTTAATTATTTAATGTGTGTTTTTATCTGATTGCGTACGTTCTTTTCATTACATTTAATTATTGTCTCGGCGGACAGCCTCTGCGCAAAATTTTATCCTTGGTATATCTGGCCAGACTTTGACATCACTGGAATCAGTTCACTGAAATCAGTTCTGTCCGATCACTAATCAATGCTGTTCTAGATGGCAAGTGCTTTCGGACATGTCTTTTAGAGTTCCTCAGGTCTTGAATCTTCTACCTACATTTTTTCTAATATTTATCTGCAAGATAATCTCATCTATAATTTACTCATTCATGCTGACGCCCTGACGACACTACTCTTTCTTTTTTCGTAATGCGAAGTCGTTTGAAACTTGCTAAATATTTGGAAACGGACTCGATTCGGGTTACTGAGTGGAGTGATCAGTGGTTTCTCTGAATTAAAAAAAAATCGAAATCGTTTCAATCAATCGGTATATTAATCCTGATGCACCTCGAATTTCAATGTCGGAGGAAATACTAGAAGAATTTCGCCTGCTTGGACTCATCACCTCCGAGAATTGTGTTGGAATGATATACTACGTCAGTAGCTAAAAGAGCATCCATTGAAGTTGTTATTTGTCCCGCAACTGCTTTCTTCACTTGTATAAATCACTGATACGTTAATGTATGGGGGTATTGCTGTCATATTTGAACTGGAGCTTTTGTAAGCGTGCCAACCTCTTTAAACGTGGACCCAAATAAAAAATTCAAATATGATTGGCGTTGCATCGTTGTATTTATTCTACGGATAGACCCTACTATATTCTGGAATGTGTTCTTTCGACTTTTCGGTACTTCTCCCTCAAAAAAAAACGCAAATTTGTGTGAAAAAACGTGATTTGATATAGGAAGCGCAGTTGTTACTTATCGATCTTAAGATCGGTAGGTATTTATTTGTCTGTTTGTTTGTCTGTCTGTTAGATGCACGCGATATCTCACGAAAGCAAGGTTGAATCTACTCCAAATTTTGCATGTGCATTCATCATAGCTCGGATCAGATGCCTATTGATTTTCGATGACTTATGTCGTATCATTAGCGAGTTATTAATCAAGTAGTGATTGGACACACGGTGTCACTATGGAGTAAGAGCGCTGTTTTGGGGGATCCCCTAACCTTCGATAAGTCTTCGGTCTCCGACCGATATTCTCGTTTACTCCTGATCAGATTTGATATCTCACCAAAACGCCTTCAGGAATATAATCGATACAAAATGTGGGCGGTCAATTAAATAAAAATAATCTGTAACAATTATCGATAGTGAAGTATGAACCGGCGCGTTCTTTGCTATATATATATATATTACTTTTCTAGACAATATTTTTCATGATTCTCGCGCGTAAATAAGTTACACTGGGTTAGGCCTACTTGGTGTCAAATGTGGATCAGACACTTATCTTAGCATTGCTCTTATCTTTGCGATTATAGCTCAAATATTTAAGTCAGCCGGCGGATTTTATCTTATCCGCACTTTATATGAAATCTTGCCCATTTTCCAAAATTACATATTTCATACTTTTGTGTTTAACAATAT